TATAAAAATTTCTTAACGTATAATGAATCAACAAAATTTGTCATTTCACTGTCACTGTAAATAATTTTTAATCTTAACGCTACTGACAACGAATAAGGAAAAAAGAAGTGTTGCCGTTTTCGTGAGAGAACGGAGAGGAGAGAAGATTTCCCATATTCATCAGCTTCTGTAGCTTTGATCACAACAAGAAATGAAATTGGTGCGCTACCTTAGTACCATTTCGATGGCTGCAGTGACGAACCTCATATTAATGGCTGCGACTATCGCGAACGGAACCCTTTCTCGAAAATTGTTCTGGACCAGGAGCGAGCCATATCACTTCTCTTCGAATCCGGATACAACGTATTACCACTACACTATTGGCCCTTACGCTTCAGCTTCAAGTTGGCAGCACATCTGATTTGTATCTGCGCTTCAGGGCAAAATACATCTTTCTTTTCTTCCCTTTTTCTTTGTGGTGGCTTCTTGACCGGTTTTTCGCGGGATTTCCGCGACAGCCACCTTATTACTAACGACCCCTCTGATACGTGATACTTTTTTTCTACCCTGTTTGTTCGTTCTTCTTGCAATCAAGCGAGAACGACGACAAGTGGCAGGGAGTTTGAGAGGAAAACAATCGGCTCTCCGTTCCATTAAACCACTGGGCCTCTTCAACCTATTTTGAGTTACTCTAAGCAACTTTAGAACTCATTTGACAAAAAATTCAGGTACAATTTGGTACGGTGGAGGATTATTTCAATGCTTTAAGAAACATCAAGGCAGCGCCTATACTGGATGGTGATTTCTTTCCGTATATGGACAAACCTCAAAGTGCAACTCCATACTGGACCGGCTTCTACAATCATAGAGCATATTTCAAACGTTTTGAAAGGATTGTTCAGGTAGCATCATCCTCAACTTTCACAATACCTACAGCCAACGTATAAAAATTTCTAAATACAGGTACTGCACACGAACTGTTCAACCTTACTCGCACCTTTAATTATAAATTATCTGTTTATGTTGTCCAGGGATTTTTGCCATTAAAATGACATTGAAATCGCAAAAATCTGGACTGCATTATACCCCCGAATTCATTTTCTTACCCCTTACATGGATGAATCTCAATAATTAGATCCTTCACAGTTGCGGTTCTTGACAAAGCTCTGTTTAGCAGTACCTACGAAAGTAGAGAATATTAAATCTTACACAAGCATACACATATTCAGGCATATGTATAGGTATGTATGTGTACATACATATACATGCATACACACACAAAACTCGGCCTCGGCAAACAGCAATCAGTTTTCTGCATTTTAAAAGTTCATATTTAAGAAATTTTTTTTGAGGAATTTCTGGAAATGTGTGATTTTTGCAGAGTGAACTTCGACTGCTCGATCTGCTAAGTGTAGCAACTCGAAAGCAACCCCGCAGTGGTGTGGAACTGGCACGTAGAAATTTGGCGCTCTGTCAGCACCACGATGCTATCACCGGCACCAGTACACGTGATGTGATGGATGATTACATGCACAGGTAATACAAAACTGCCGTTTTTTAACTCTCTAAAAAGACAGTCCATTAAGAAGACAGGCATTTTCCCTTCAACAAATACTGGATGTTGCAGTAAGGAGAGACACTGTGCTTCCAGCAAAAGCAACAAAAGTTGTTATTAAGACGGTTTAAAATACCATAAAAGCCAAAACCAGTCAAACAAACACTGTGGGTATCCCATTTTAGTGATCTTACTGAAGTACTCCCACAAGCCAGATTCATTTATAACAATTCGAAATAAGATAAAGTAAATAGCGTATTTCAGATTACGATTATCCTTACGAACAGTACTAACAGAGCAAGAAAGGATGCTAAGAGAGGAATATTCCAGTCAAACATTTACAACTATAGTAAGTTTTGCATTTTGTTACTATCACTATTTTCTTCATTATTACTGTTACTATTATTATTAACTTATTTGTATCTTTGAAATATCTAGGATGATTTCAGTTTTTAATAAAACTTTTGAAACTGAATTTTCAGTTTGTAAATAAAGGAACCGTGCGGGCGAAAGGGATGTTTTGGCCGCGTAAATCCTTGCTGTTTAATAATGGCATTCAGGAGTAAGTACATTTGAAATTACCTATTAGCTTCGTTTATTTTACAAAATTTTGCTTATTTCATATACTATGCCTTTATGTTATGTTACCTTGTGTAATGTAAAGTTAGGTTAAGTCAGTTTAGATTAGGTTAGGTCGAGTTAGACCAGTTTATGTCGTTTCATGTTGTTGTGTGTTTAACTTCTATAGCATATAGATAATTGCATTACTAGAAAATTTGCTCTGATTCTTGTTGGCAAAAAAATTGTTACCCGTAGATTATCCCAAAACCTAAATGCTTCTGTCTTTCGCAGTGAGTGTAATATGACGAAACTTTAACTTGCAGGCCATATTTTTTTTCAAATTGATTCGACAACGGTCTTTATTGATTATTTCCATGTGTTAAGTTTTCATAACTTGACTTGACTTATCCTAACCTAATCTAAATTAACTCGACCTAACTTCACATCACACGAAATTTCAATATGTTGAGTTAAGTATGTCATGTTTTCAAAGAGGTAACACATACCCCTTTGAAGCACGAAATGTTTGGGTCGCTAAATAATTTGATAGTGAGGAGCTCAAAAAGCGTCAGGATTTGCGTCTATTTTATATTTGCAGATACCGAATTCAAATCGTTAATCAGAAGGCATTTCGTGCACATGAACTGATAAAAGTCAATACAAGCAGTGCTTTGGTTACTGTGTCTCAGGATGGTGAAGCAGTTATCGCCCAAGCAGTCCCGATACATGGCGTCGATGATCTTTATGAAGTAGTTCCAGTGAACTGTATTAATAAGTCCAGAAAATTAATATAAGCGTCACCGAAAGCAAACGCTCTTTGTTGACAAATCGTGGACATTATAAATTAGTAAGCGGTGTCTAAGAAAAGGAAGCGACCATTCAAGCGGTTTTCAAAGAGGTAACACATAAAAATCGACCAGGTTAGGTTTCGTCGAAGAATCTGGCATTGCCGCATCCGGCCTGTAGAAGAATCCGAATAATATCATTAAAACGAGATATCCACACTAGTTATCTGAAATAATGTAGATTGGAGGCGTAACATGTATATATACGACTTAATGGACCGAAACATTTCTTACCTCCTTAAATAATTCTTTAGAACCCTTTCATCGTTTTTTGCTCATATTATCTCTCTAACCCTAAGTGGGTAAACCTAAACTCATTGATTAGCCGGTATCCTTCGCCGGTCAAACGGTACTAAGCGCCTTGATTGTCACGAGTTTTGAACTGCTCGTTTAGTAATCCTTGGAAGGATAATCAACAATAACATCATGTCAAAACGTGTTCTCTTGAAGTATTTATCAAGAATTCAAAATTTTAAATGGAATTTCTGCATTTATCTTTTCAGATATCTTTCTTAGCACTACTCGAACCATTTTCGGCAACAATTGTCACCATTCAGCTGGAAAAAAGCCAGTCTGCGGCGACAGTCCTCACGCCGCTCACTGATCTCACTAAAAGAACAGCAAAGTTAGTTTTTTTAGCATTTAGTTTGCCGAACACCTCTAAGTTTCCATATCCAAGCAAAAGAAAAACAAATAAATCCGAAAAGGAGTGGATTTACTCTGTCAGTTGGTGATTGTTGACAAAATGAAATCGTTCGGGCCGTTTCGGCATATCTCAGCTTGCACAAGAAAAAAGTGTAGGGCTTTTGATTTTAATATCTATCATATTAACAGTGAACTTTTGCCATTGGAATGCTGATAATGATAAAAGTTATTCACGGTGAATGGCATACTGAGGAAAAACACTGTTGTTGTGAAGAAGATCGAAGGTTCGACTCCGCAGTAGAGTAGTCAATCTTTCTGCAGTTGATTCATTTGTTTCGATAGTAAATAAGTACCGAGGCGCACCAGCGTAACCGGTGCAATCATGAGTTTTGCGCAGTTTCGTCCAACTGGTGTTTGCTGCTGAGAATTTTCACTGCCTTACACTTTGATGCCTTACAAAAATAGTTGATATATTGTTCTAAGCTGCAAAATGTCCCATTAGAAGTTTCACCATCACGTGAAACGTAAACATATATTAAAGCTAAATTTGAAACCTTTGGATGCATATGGACGTGTTCCAACTTCCTAATTTTCTGGCTTCCAAGTTAATGACTTTCGTGCCGGAATTTTTTCAATGGCGTACGTGAGTTCTAAGCATACATGGAAGTTAGTGGATCCCTTTCATAGGCGAAAACATCATTCTGAAATCTCATCCTTTTAGCTCTTCCGATTCTCAAGGTGTGGTGAAAACATAAAGTTTTCTTCTTTCCGACCTTGACTCTTCTGGTGTTTCCTACCGTTA